GGCTGGCGTGGGCCCTCGTACCCCGGGGGGTGCCAGGGCTGGCAGGGCTGTGCTGAGCCCCTGCCGCCGCTGGGGCTGCCGACCCCTTTTGTGCAGCCACCCCGCTGCAGCCTGCCCACCCGCTGCACTGCCGCTGCAGACCCACTGCCCGGCCCGCTGCTCCTGCTCCGCTCGCTTCCCTCCTCCTGCCTGGGAGCTGCTGGGGCAGCTGCATGCTGGGGCGCTGCTGGGGACAGAGGCTGTCCCCTCCCCAGGCCGTGGCTCACTGGGGACACACAGCTGAGCGCACAGCAGCCAGTGCAGGCGAAGTCAAGCACCAGTGCGGGGCAGGGAGCACACGCACTCGCCCATGCTCCGAGTAGGGGGCTGCCATGACATCCTCCCCTTGCCACCATCCTCACCCCTGGCCTCGCACCTCCTGCGCTGAGCTGTGCTCATGGCATGACACAGCCCATGCCAGGGGCTCCCTGCCTCAGGGTGCGCGAGCCTGCAGCCCCCATCCCCTGATGCTGGGGGAATGGCATTGCTCCCAGGGTCCCCAGCCCCCAGCAGGGATGTCCATCACCCAACGGCTGCGGCCCCCCGGCTCACCCTGCCACCCTCCAGGTGCACAGCCTGCAGGAGCTGCGGCGCAGCGCTTCCCTGGCCACCAAGGTCTTCGTGCAGCGGGATTACAGCGACGGGACCACGTGTCAGTTCCAGACGAAGTTCCCCCCTGAGCTGGAGAGCCGGGTAGGGAGCCTGGCAGGCCGACAGGGTGGGAGGTGCCCTATGTCGGTGTCCTGTGGAGGCTCAGCGGGCAGAGGGGTCTGAAGTCATGGGGCCCCCATAGGATATTGTATAGCCCTGGGCCAGCTGATCCTGCTGGGTGCATGCCATCACAGCCACCTTGCCCAGTGTGCAAGGGCTTGGGTGCTCCTGGGGACCAGGAGGCTCTGGTGAAGGGTTCCAGGCTCAGCAGATCTTGGCATGGGCGGGCAGTGGGCAGGGGCCAGGGAGCTGAGGCATCAGCTGGGCAGGGCGGAGAGGGTTAAGTGCTCCACAAGTTCCCCCGGGGATGGGGACAGGGCAGCACAGGGGGTCAGCCTCTGGCCAGACTCGTCTTCACCGGGGTTTCTGCTCTAGATCGAGCGGCAGCTCTTTGAGGAAACTGTGAAAACCCTTAACGGCTTCTACGCTGAGGCAGAGAAGATTGGGGGCAGCTCGTACCTGGAGGGGTGCCTGGCCTGTGCCACCGCCTATTTCATCTTCCTCTGTATGGAGACACACTACGAGAAGGTGCTGAGTTCCAGGGAAGGGCTTGGGGACGGACACGGCTGGCAGGGGGCACAGGGATGGCACAGGGAGCAGGGGGGCTGGAAGCCAGAGCAGGCATCAGGGCTGGCAGGCTCTGAGTGTTCCCTTGTGTGCCGGCAGGTCCTGAAGAAGATCTCTAAGTACATCCAGGAGCAGAACGAGAAGATCTATGCGCCACGGGGGCTGCTGCTCACCGACCCCCTGGAGCGTGGCATGAGGGTCGTATCCTCTGGGCAGCTGGGTGCTGGGAGGGAGGACAAGGGTGAGGGGTGGGGGGACACCGGGAGTGGGTGCTGGGCAATTGGATTTGAGGCTGGCACATCCCACCGGTGATCCTTAGCAGGGCCCAGATCGAGATCTCCATCTACGAGGACCGGTGCAGCAGCGGCAGCTCCAGCAGCGGCAG